GCTTGATGATGTAAGCATGATGTCATCAAGATGAGGTAAGCATGGTATAATAGGACACGTGTCATCACAACATAAAAAGAGAAAATGGACGGTCCAGATCAAGCCACGTATTTTTAAGATTAACGGTCGAGATTCGGTCTTGTTTTCTATAAATACCCCTCTCCTCCCTCTCATTTCGTCCTAAGCCATAGAAACCTTAGGGAAGTTCTTGCAAAATGGTTTCTAGAGAGAGAAAGAAGAGGGAGAAAGAAAGGCCAAGTGATTCCAAGCCAAATCAAGCTCTAAAACAAGGTATGTGTGTTGTTTTTGATGTAGTTTCTACCTTTCTTGTTATTTTTGAGCTGGTGGTTGGTTTGATTGGATTTTTGATGATTGAAATCTTATGGGGAGGTGCTGCACAAAATTTATTGGAATAGGAGAAGATGATATGGATGTTAAAAGCATGTTTAAAGGCTTGGAAACAATAAGAATCAAGTGGTTCTGTGTTGATTTTGTAAGAAATCCAACTTTCCCTTAGTTTGTGATTCTGTTCGGCCTTGACTGTTTTCAATGGTTAGGATTGGATTTTGATTGTTTTGAGCTTGGAAATAGATTCTACATGCAAAATTATATGGGATTAGTATGTGGAAATAATTTTAGGAAGGTTGAAATTAAAACTCAAAAGTTAAAGTTCAAGTATGTTCAAGAAAGAATCAAGTAGAGATAAGTTGATGACTTGATTCTAATAATTGTTTTGCATCATTTATTGATGTGTTTAGGACATTGGAACATCCAAGAGGATGTTTAATGGTGTTGACCGAAAATCTATAGGGTTGGAAAGACAAGGGAATCAAAGGAAAAGCAAGAGGAAAGCTATGTTACAAGGTAGTAAACTTACCTATATTATGTGCTTGATATGTATGCTTGCATGATGTGGTTGTGTTGTCATGATGTGACTAAGCTATGATGAGATGTTTGCAAGTTTATGTTATGTTTTGCCTTGGCAATATGTTATGGAAGCATGAAATGCTTTAGCTTACTTTCCATGGTATTTATGTGTTAATGTTATAACATGTCATGCATGTGCATTGTATTTTGCATGCTTATGAGTAGTGTTTGCTACTGAGATTCTCCTGAATCTCACCCCTCCCTAACCAACTATTTAAGTCAATCAATGGTGGGCAATAATGGCATGAGAGGCAAGGAGAAGAAAGTGGAGGATTATTGATGTTAACGAATGATGTTATTATTCAATGTATAATTCTCCTATTATGTAATTATGTTATGGATGCCAATGATGCCATGTATTTAATTACAATGTTTGTGGGATGAATAGAAATGTATGAGGATGATTGGGAAAGTGTAAACCCAATTTATGTTTGTCTCCCATTTAAACAATTAACACAGGGACAAAAACTTTTGTTATAAGCATTCCTTTTAATAAATTCAATAAATTCTTCTACCCTATTCTCATACTCCTTAGATGTTCTCAAAGCATTATCCAACTACGATCCATTTTGTTAATATATAAGTAATTCTAAATAATTTAATTTAATTCAAGACTAAAATCAACAAATAAAGAACATAAATGAAAACCTTTAACAAGAAATTAAATATTATCTAATATTCCCTCCGTTCCTTATTATAAGAGACAAATAACCGAAGTACATTGATCAAAAAAACAGTTAAAATTAGTTAAGAACAATTAATGTGTAAAAAGTATAATTTGTTTTCCAAAAATGCCCTCATTAATAAGGAAAGAGAGCATGAGAGAGAATAATTAAAATATTAAAAGAAAGAGAAGTGGGAGGGAGAGAGAGTGTTAGTTGGAGATAATAAATATGGGTAAAATAGAAAATCAACACAAAAAAGTAGAGACAACTTTTAAGTGTCTCTTATATATAGAAACATACCATAAGCATCAAATGTCTCTTATAATAAGGAACGGAGGGAGTATTAAACATTTTATAAACAAAGAAATAAATTTTATTAATTACATAGTTAGTATTTTAACATAAAGATTTTACAAGAATTTTTTTTGCAATAAATAAAAGATGTATTTTTCTATTTAAACTCACCAATTTATTTAATCTAATCATTATTAATTGTTTCTAGAGCAAATTCATATAATTCATACAGCCATTTCATCAAACACCTTAACTACTACAACAAAATATTTAAAAACACTCCTTCATAATTAATGGATATAATGAAAACCAAAAACTAAATAATATAAAATCAAAAACTCAATTCCATTCAATTAGTTATACATCTGCATTTCATCAAAAATCTAAATTACAATACAATCACAAGCCTCCCAATTCCAACAGGTTTATCAAACAGCAACATATACATGATCAATTCATCCTTAAAAAGATATCTAACTTACCTATGAAGTGAAGAATGAAAAATGAGGGAGTGTTGTAGACTACCCACAGTGAGCTTGCTAGAAACATAGAAAGAAACAAAATGTGAGTAAAAAAAAAAAGAGAGGAAAAAATATGAAATGAAGAGGGGAATCGACCTTTAATTGGAAAAAAGGGAGCTGCCGTGTCGAGGGGAGCAGCTGAAGGGTGGGAGGAATGTTGGGGGAGGGTGGACATGGGGGTGTTAGGCGTGGGTGGGGTGGGGTGGGGTGGGGTGGGGTGAAGGGGGGGAGTTGTTACGAGGGGAGGGGACACTGGGTTGGGGGGACACCGGGGGGGTCTGGGGGTGGGGTTACAGGGATAAGGGTGGGACACGGTCAAGGGTAGGGGGACCAGGGGGACCACGAGGGGGCTAAAGGTGGGCGTGGTGTGGGCGTTGGGGGGGAGGAGAGATGGAAAATGGGGGGTATTAAGAGAGGTGTGGGGGTAGGGGAAATGGAAATGGGGGCACTAAGAGAGAGGTGAGGGCCAAGTTGGGGGGGTTTAGAGAAGGAGGTGGTGGGTCGAAAGAGGGAGAAGAGTACTTCTCAAAGGAGTTGAAGGCGGGCTAAGCCAAACAAGAGTTTGGTGGGCCCAAAATGGGGCCCATATTTGTTTGGTCTGTTAGATCAGATGAATATGGTTGTCTGACCAGACAAAAATGGAGGCACAAACACGTCTGTTTTAGCCCAATAGACGAGTATGGGTCCCTATATTCATCTGTTTTCAATTTCAGACAAAAATAGGAGATGAAAATAGACCTTTTTGTAGTAGTGTGTTATGAAACTAGAAGAAATAAGAAGATTAGAGAGTGGAAAGAAAAAAAAGAGATAGAGAAGACAGTGACCTTTTTTCTCATTCACTTTGTTTTATGGTATAAATACCTTATGCATGGTCTCTAGTTATAGGCTTCCAAACATTGAAGTCCTATACTAAGGTTGTAAAGGAATAAAGAACATCATAATAGTATTAACAATGAGAAACTCTTCTCAAGTTATTCATTGGGAAGGTTATGTAGTTTATGACACTTGAAGGTGAGGAATGCCATGAGAATTATAAGGGTTGGAGGTTATGGCCATCCACTAATACAATATTCATAATAAAAACAACTTTTTCTTTTAGAAAATATCCCCGTCAACCAATAGGAAGGTAATAATAATTTTCTTTTAAAAAAATCTACAATATCCATGTGGACCAATCATAAAGCTGCTACAAGGTTTATAAGTTATATAGATTGATTTTGACTATTTTTTTTAATTAGTCAAAATTCTTATAATTAGTCAATTTACTAAAAATTTCTTAAAATTCATTCTAGAAGTATTTTCATTATTTTTAACCTTAAATGGGTCTTTATACCTCATTTCCAGTTTTATGGGATTTTTCTAAATTTTTTTAGCATACTTTCCTTCATTATCCTTTCCAACCCAAAACTTTTTTTAATTATAATTAGGTCCCTGCTAGGATTTAGTCCTAAGAACCATCTAATTGAGGTCTCTATTATAATCTCTGACTTCTATTCATCCTCATTTATCATATTAGGCTCTTTGAGATTTTATTGGAATCTCTATTTTTCTTGTTTCTTGCTATCAGAAAACTTTTATTTCACAGTTTAGTTTCTGGGAATCCTTTTGTCCTTTTAGGGAACTTCTAGAACTTTTGCCAAAAAGATTTTGGTAGCCTGCTCATCTTAGATTATTTCTTATACTTCTAGGCCCAAATTCGAAATGTTATATGTCGACCTTTTCATTGTATTCATTTTCCTTGGTTGAATAAATTTAACTTTATATCAAAAGAAGAACATTGAAACCATTGAGGTTTGTTCCACACACATTCAGAATGGTTGATTTGAGCCTTACAAATTTAGATTTACTAAAACCCTTCTTCAAATAAGGTTAATGAATTGCAATTTGTTACTTTTCCTTTTCACTTCTCTTTACTATCATTTTTAATTAAGCTTGTTTCTAGTTTTTGTTTTTTTCTTCTTGTTTTTTTATTTTTGAATAAGAGCTTGTTTCTAGTTTGTAATAAACTAAACAGCGGGTATTAGGTCATAGTAAAATGGGTAAAAATAAAATTTTAGTATCAAATCTATCCAATATTCGATTCAAAAGAGCTTGGATTGCTTCTTCTTCTTTAAATATTTAAGAACAATGTTTGAATATTGTTTTTTTATTATTAAAGAATAATAATATGATATTCTATAAAAAATGTTTTGTAATAGAAAAATATCATCCCTTGTATAGGAAACAAAAAAAATATCATCCTAGCTTAAATAAAATTATTTTTTGTTAACAGCTTAAATAAAATTATAAAACCCTATTAAAGACATGTTAGACGAAAATATTACCATTTCGATAGCTAGTTCTTAGGTATTTTTTATTTTTAATTTGTAAAATAAATTGTGAATAAAGGAAAAGGAGGAAAATAACGAATAAATAATAAATATTAAATATTAAATGAATAAATAAATAAAAAGAACAAAACAAAAAAACTGTTATTAGTATTTTTTTAATAATTACGTTTTTATTTAACACTTCGCATAACAATTTTCTCAAACAGGAAGGACGAGGAGGATAAGAAAAAAAGGAAAAAAAGGGGAGTGAGAAAAAAAGGGAAAAAAATCCAACGTCGTCGTCTCATCGTCCGCAATCTCTCGTCACTCCTGTTTTCTCTTCCGCCCATATTGCCGCCGCTGGGCTTCCTCTCCACGACGCCTCTCCTCCTCGTCCTCTACTGCCAGGCGAACCAAGTTCTTCCAACTACTCATTCCCATACGCTGTACCGCACTCCCATTTCTGCTTCAACCAAAGTTCCAATAGGTAAGCTTGTTTATTGCCAAGACATCTCTATTTTCTTCTGTATATTGTCATGGTTGATTTGTCTTTTGAATAACGAGATTCAGCTCAATGATGCCACGACTACTCTGGTGAATTTTCGCTGTGTTGCTTCTTTGTTATTTTGGTTTATGAGGGTGAATTTAGGACATACATATTTTACGGTTTCGCCCTCTGCAAACCATCAGTCGATTTACCCTTACTACTACAAACATTTAGGTTGCACACTTTACTGGTGAGATTATTTTGACGTTATATTGATGAGTTTTACTGTAGAAATACTTTTTCAGTTGTTGGAAGCCGATGGGGTATTGATTTATAAATATTTGGGGTATGCTATACTTGTCTTTTCTACTTTATGATGCATTCTAATAACATTTCATGATGTGAATAATTGTGTTTGTTTGTGTGTGTGTGTGTGTGTTTCAATCAATATTCAGTGAAATATTTTTACCAACTTGCAAGTTACTGTTTTTCCCTTCGCATGTTATTTTTTTTAAAATAATAATGTGTATCTTTTTTTATACATAATACCCATATATTCTGGCGCGTTATTATAATTTAAGTAGAATCATCTAATCAATAACATTTTTGGTTAAATGATTTATCTATTCTTTTGAAATTCTAATGGCTGGTCGTGGTTTTAATAGTCCACTATATTATTCTTCTTCCCTTAAACCCAACATATTCCGTTGCAATTACCTATCTTGCCATGACCCCAAAACTCACCTTTTATCCTGTTTTTTGCCCCTCTTTTCGTTGCAACAGAAAGTTGGTCACAAATATGAAGGTGGTAGCACTTATTAGCGGTGGGAAGGACAGTTGTTACGCCATGATGGAGTGTATTAAACATGGCCATGAGGTTTTTATTTTAAAGATTTGAACATGAAAATTTGCTCTTTTATTCACTTAGTTTCTGGCCTTAATTATCATTACTTTTTTCTCCTCGGTACCTGGCTCATTGCTGGTACTGCAATAGATTGTTGCATTGGCAAATTTGATGCCTGATGATGGTTCTGTGGACGAGCTAGATAGCTACATGTATCAAACTGTAAGCCTTTTTTGCCTTTTCCTCTTTGCTTACCACACAAAACAATTCTAAGATCGGATACATTTAATAGAGTTGAAAGAATTCTATTAATAAAGAAAAGAAGAGAAAAACAGAGAAAATATAACTTTCTTTAGCGCTTTGAGCTTCAAAATATGCCTTTAAGAACTAGTGTCCTGAATGTACAATAGTCTTAGGAGCAATCAATCATAGAGTTAGAAAGTTGCCTTTCGAAAGTTATAACTATATTTCTTATTCCACAAGGTTAGATTTTATATAGTATTTTTTCCAAAACTCTCGGATAAGCTTAGCTATTGCTGTTATAACTTATTGTACTATTTTTATTAGCATTGTTTTGGATTTATAATGGGGTTATATTGTAATAGGTATTCAGAGTGTAGGGTGGCTTAGGAATTATATAACAATGATAAGAGGATTAAGAATTTGTTGGGCTGAACTGAAGATTAGGAAGTGGAAAGTTGAAATTTTTCCTGTGCTGTCTAGAAATTTTTTTTTCTATCTGAGCATTGTGCTCTTTGATGTCATTGTGCTGATTATAAAATAAATTACACTGATCTATTACACTAGTCTGAGCATCATCTCAAGATTTTGTGGACATTTGTTTACTGCTTGTGTGTATTTTCCTTGCACATGTGATAATGAGGATGGGCTACTTAATGTTTACTTCAGGTTGGTCACCAAATAATCATCAGCTATGCAGAATGCATGGGATTGCCATTGTTCCGAAGGCGAATAAAAGGATCCACAAGGCAAGCCTTATCATTGAAATATTGTGGTAAAACTAGTGATTTTATTTTTAGGAAGATATAATGTTCAAGTTTTCTAGGAGTAGGAGAAGAATGACCTCTTAACATATGATATTTGAATTTGGTATTAATTTTCTTTTAATGTTAGATTCCTGTATGGTTGTGGGGAATTTGCTGTGCGTTGCTATAGTGATATTATCTCATCCTGCGTGTGTCTGAACTACTGTGAAATATTCCTCCGGTCCTAAATATAAGACCCATTTATGACACTACAAAATGGGTCTTATATTTAGGACTGGAGGAGTATTACTTTTTGATATTTGATTAATCTTTATAGTTTTACTTGTATTTATTTTATTAGTAGATAGCAATTTAGGCGTTTCTCTTTAACTTTGAATAGCTGGATTGGTCATTGAACTACAATAGGGAGAAGTTCATCTTTTGGTGGTAGTTATTTCTTTTAAATTTATATTTATTCAAAATTATAAATATATATGTTGAGAAACCCTGTTAAACTATGACGTCTAATGGTTTAGAATTTTATTATTATCTAGTATGAAGTTATTATTGCATAGGGGCTTTCATTATTTATTATCTTTACTTTTAAGTGTATCTTGTAGTTTATCTCAATCTACTGAGTATTTTTGTAGTTGTTGAGGAGGAGTTAAAATGGGGATGGGTCTCACGTCTGTAAGAGTTCCTTGCGTGTGTGACAGTGCAAGCCTTCCCATTCACCCTATTTTATACTAAATTGTACTTGGCCTCAAAGCCAGTTTAGAGAGTGGAGTTGACATTTAATATCCTGTTTTTCGGGTTGAAGATTGGAGCTTCTACCACTTCTCCAGGGGAACTTAGGCCCCTTTGGCATAGCTCTAGTCTCCTTCTCTGGCCCTTTTTCCAACTTTTCTACCCTGTCTCAGCTACAAGCTTCATCGCTCTCATTCATACTTTCTAGTGGCACAAGGGAGATGTGACCTTGCGACCTTGCTATTAGAATTATTACTCCAAACTTGTGTGGAACATGAGTTGCATCTCCAACATCCCCATATGTGGGCAATGATAGCCTTTAGTATCTATGCATCTGTTATTGGTAGACTTGTTGCTTTCCTCAGAAAGGGACAACTTACCTTCTTAATATCTTCTTTGACCTTTAACATGAATTGTATTGCTTTGCAATAATCATGAAGTAGCTTTTCCAGTATATTTTTTATTTCAGTGCTTCGTCATGTATATTTTTGCTTTTCTTGGTTTCTGCATCCTTCTTGTCACTGTAATCTATATCTCAAAAGTTGAACTTCTTTGGCCTCTCTTGTTATCATGAGGTGCTTTCTTCTAGTTGTGCATTATTCCTACTGCTTGCTGTGCATCATAGTGGCAGTTCTTTTCTCTAATTGGACGTGGCTCTGATTGAACCTTCTTGATGATATTGCTATTCAGATCTTGCCTATATACGTTTTCCTTTTTTTTGCTGAACTTCTTGCCAGCAAACCTTTCTTGATGGTGTGAAATATTCCCGATTCTTGCAAACTGTGTTGTGACTCTTTGTTCCTTCTTTTCTAGTTCTGTGTTTTCTTGTTCACTTTTGGTCTGCTTTCTGACTAAAAAGTTAACATGATGCCTATAGAACTTTTGTCATCAAAGTGGAGTGTTGAGCTGACTCTACTATCAGCCAGTTTCTGTTATTAACTTGTCATGATTATCTAGTTCCTTTATTAGTTTGTCAATAGGGCCTTATTTATAACAAGCCGAACATTGAATAATCTTTAGCTTGAGAGGTATGTTGAGAAATCCTATTAAAGTGGATCGCAGTGGAATAGTTCTTGGGAATTTACTATTATTTAGACTCCAAGTTTATAATCATCAAGTGTCTTATGTTCTAGAGTCCTAATTATCATTATCACTATCTAGTGAATCACTATTCTTTAAGTGTTATTATAAAAAAAGGAAAATAAAGAGGGGGATGCCATGTGGATGTAAAACTTTTCATTCACTATAATTATGCTTTCTTCCTCAACTTTGTATAATATATAGCATTTTACAATCAAGTTAATGATATGAAACCGGCAAAAAATTTTGCACATAATAAATTTTATACATCAATGCAATTTTTACTTAGATATGTTTAATATTAAAAAACTTTTTAGTAATGCAGATAATCTGGCAGCTTTTTAAAGTGCCATGTCAATCGTGCTTTGAAAAGCTGGCTGATTTATTGACATCTCAGAATTGAACTGGACCTGGGTCAGATAGCTGTTGAACCAGCCAGTCTGGTTGTATAATGTTAAAAAGGCTGTTATCATTTATGTTCTCTGGTGGGATCCTCCAAATTGGGTAGAGAAAATAAGGAAGAAAAGTCTATATTAAGTTATGAGATTGGGATCTAACCTCAAATTAATAAAGATGTGGGAAAATCTTTAGTAGATGAGCTAGGATCTTAACTCATTAAACCAATAAAGCCTAAGGAGAATCTCCAATGATAAATACCGATATTGAATTAATTTCCAGATGATTTTTTCACGTATTGAGCCTCTATATTTATAGACAGAAGAATAACCATGACTCCCTAAAATTTAGGCCCGCTAATGCATGATTCAGGAAAGATATTAGTTTTAATAAAAATATATAAAATAAAATATTGACTCAGTAAATAATCCTAATTCTAACAGACTCCTCGTGCTCCTAAACTTGTGCTGCACTTAAACTAACCAGTAAAACCGCTAATAAACCCACTAAAATAAACATTAATAAAATAGAATCAGGTTAATTTAATTCCACACATTCGTTGCACGTTGGTTCTCATTATACAGTAAACTAATTTTAAAACAAATGAGAAAAGAAAAACTGGAACATTGTACTCATTGTCTGCTCATACATCTATTTTAGAGGCTGTGATATGTAGTATCAAGTGTGGGTGGGCCGATAACTTTTGAATCAAAGATATCTCCAACTTTGCATATAACTTCATTTTTCTTAAGGCTGAATGTTATTTAAAATTTAAAATTGGATTCTCCAAGCCTCCTGAAATATTTGGATTTACTTAATTATATGATGCTTAATCTAAACGTGATATTTTGTGGATAGGCATCATGAGCTTGGATACAGGCCAACTCTGGGTGATGAAGTTGAAGACATGTTTATTTTGTTAAGTGAAGTGAAAAGACAGATACCCTCAGTAACAGCAGTTTCCTCTGGAGCCATTGCATCTGACTATCAGAGGTTGCGGGTGGAAAGTGTTTGTTCAAGGTTAGGCCTTGTTTCTCTGGCATACTTGTGGAAACAAGATCAATCACTGCTTCTCCAGGAAATGGTAAATTGTGTTATGGCAATGTAATGTTACACATGCAAGTATTCATTTATGTATATAAATATGCTTTATTTTTTCATATAACTGTAACTACATTTTTGTTTTGATCAGATTGCTAATGGAATCGTGGCTGTAATAGTGAAGGTATAACTTCCTGGTTAGCTCTGCTTCTAAAGTTTCATCTTCCTTCTTAAAGGGGAGGCAATTACTGCATTCTTCCCATTATGGTACTTGTCAGCTACTTAGGGAGATCTTAAATTCTTTTGATTTTATGGAACATGACAATGTTCCAAGTGTAATACTACCATATAGTAACATCTAAGTCATGCTGGTTTTGGCTTCTGTTGTATGGTAGCCACTTATATTAGTGATATGCGGCCTAGAAAAGAAAACAAAACCCTTTCCATCTAATTTTTAAAGTTACTTTTATATCATAACAGTCATTCTGGACCTTGATGCTTTATTTGCATTACTAGGTTGCTGCCATGGGTTTGGACCCTGCAAAGCATCTGGGCAGAGAAATAACCTTCTTGAATTCATATTTGCATAAATTGAAAGAGTATGTCAGAGTTCGCCACAATTGTGAAATTGTTCTCTGAGGTCTTTTTATGTTTTTGTTTTGAGACTCTCTCTTCTTTGTCTTTTGCAGGTTGTATGGAATTAATGTTTGTGGGGAAGGAGGGGAATATGAAACATTAACACTTGATTGCCCACTCTTTATTGTAAGTTCATGGCAAACCTCTTTTGATAGAATGAGAGTAGTTGAGCCATTTGACACTGTCTGCTACCCTTTTCTTCTCTTGTCCATTAGAATCCACTGTACAGTTATGGAGTCTATGTTGTGAATCTAATGCTGTTACTAAGATATTAGTTGGAGCTTTCATTCTCAAATGCATTTTGTAGGAAAGTGGGCCTGCTGCCAAAAGCCCCCTAATCAGTGTTTAACCTAACCTCCTAGAATCTCCTAGCATTAAATAGATGTATCTCTTGTAACAGTCAGATTATGACAAAATCTAAATATTATCATTATTTCCTTATCTTTAGGAGGAATTTAGGAGATGTGATCAGATTTACATTAATTAGGTTTATTCTTTATACCCTATATATTATATAAACCCTCATTCAGTGAAATATACAGTGTACTATTTAGAAAATTACATGGTGTCAGAGCCTTAATCGAAACCCTACTCTATGTCCTTTAAGCAGGGAACAAAAAACTGAACTGAACCGGCTGGTTCAATTGGAAAACTGGTGAACCGGCTAGTGGTCCAGTTTGGTTTAATCACTAAACTGGCTACAAATTGAACCAGTGGCAAACTGGTCAAACTGCGGGTAAACCAGTGAAATCGGTAAAAACTGATGTGAACTGATTTAGATAATTATATTGTTATTGATGCTATTTTTTCCCATTCAACTCCTCATATCTCAGTCATTATGAATTTGAATGAATTTTAATGATGATTTTGGTATCAATAATTATTAATTTTAGTTATTAAGGAATTATAAAGATCAAAATTCTCAATATTATTATACCTTGTTATTGTTACAATCAAACTATTGTATTTTCTTGTATTTTGTTATTAGTGATTATTATTGTTGTTGTATTTTGTTAGTTTTAATTAAATTATATTATTTTAATATGACGAGTTTGTTTTCGGTTGGACCTCGGTCTGATCCACTGACCTGTACACCACTACCTTAATCAGTTTAATGTTCGATCCGGTTTTTTATTCCTTTCTTTTAAGGCTGTAATTATGCAGTTGTGTATCTTTGCTGCTGATGGTAGCAGCACAACGCCATCAGGGTTGGCATTGCAAGGGGTTGTACTCACCGATGCCTTCTGCCAAATTCCAAATACCCATCGATTAGATGGGAATAGTTATCTCCACTGGTCCTGCTATGTTCTCATGTTCGTTTGGGGTCGCAATAAGGAACGATATCTCACTGGAACTCCACCTCCGCCAGCATCTACAAACCCTCAGTTTGCTAGTTGGTGTGCAGAGAATAACCTGGTCATGGCTTGGCTTGTCAGCTCCATGGCAGTCGATATTGGCGAGAACTACCTCCTTGCCACTATTACTGAATAATTTTATGCCACTGCAAAGTTATTTTATTCCAGAACAGAGGTTCAATATTTATAGGAATGATCCCTAGGTTTAGCAGATTCTAGGATCAACCTATTGATTACACAATCAGCTGGAAATCAGCCCAAAATGAGTAATTTAAAATTCAAACAGATCTGCCGAGATCCTAGGAGAGAAATCAGGTAAAGATCCTCTGAATTAAAGGCAAGAAATGATAAATATAGACAAAGATCATAGTAGCATCAGCACTCCCCCTCAAGTTGGCGAATAGATGTCTATCATTCCCAGCTTGCTTCTAAGCTCTTCAAACTGTGACCTTGCTAATGCTTTAGTGAAGATATCTCCCACTTGGCAGTGTGATGGTACATGAGTTAATTCAATAATTCCTGTGTCCTCCTTTTCCTTTATGAAGTACTTGTCAATATCAACATGCTTGGTTTGTTCATGATGAATCGGGTTCCTTACCATTGCTATGGCAGACATACTATCACATCTTAATCTTATAGGTGTAGTTGGTGTGAATTTCAGCTCTCTTAGCACTCTCAGTATCCACAATCCTTCACATACCCCATGAGCAACAGCACGCAACTCAGCTTCTGCGCTGCTCCTAGAAACAACACTTTGTTTCTTACTTCTCCATGTTACTAGGTTCCCCCATAGCATGGTACAATACCTAGAGGTGGACCTCCTATCAGGGAGAAATCCACCATGATTAGCATCTGTATAAACAATTATTTCTCGAGATGTGCCTTTGGCAAAATAGAGTCCTCGTCCTGGAGTCATTTTCAGATAATGTAGAATCCTGTATATTGCATTCATGTGTTCCTCTAGGGGCTCATTAGTGAATCTGCTCACAACTCCAACAGCATAGCTTATATCAGGACGTGTATGAGAGAGATAGAGTAGTTTTCCTACCAATTTGTTATACCTTCCAGCATCAACAGGTACTGGTTCCTTTTTTGGTTTTGCTTTCTTCTAATGGTCTTTTGTTGTGGTTCCTCCATCTTCCTCATCCTCTTCTTTGCTGTCAAGTTTGCAAGGAGGCTCCATTGGTGTTTCCACTGGTTTTGCACCCAGCATTCTGGTTTCTTTCAATAAGTCTAAAGTATATTTCCTTTGTGAGACAAAGATTCCATCACGAGATTATGCTACCTCCATCCCCAAAAAATACCTGAGGCCACCTAGGTCTTTTACTTCAAACTCTTTCTCTAGGGATCTCTTAAGCTTGGCTACTTCTTTTGTATCATCACCAGTCATAATGATATCATCAACATATACAATTAGGATAGTTACCTGAGTGTTTCACAAATAGTGTGCGATCTGCCTGGCATTGAGAGAATCCCACATTCTTTACAGCCTTTGTAAATCTCTCAAACCATGCCCTAGGAGACTGTTTGAGGCCATAGAGTGATTTGTAGAGTCTACACGCTATTCCGGGAATATTATGTTCTGCCAAACCTTGAGGAACATCCATGTATACTTCTTCTAGGTCTCCGTTTAAGAAGGCATTTTTCATATCAAGTTGATGTAGTGGCCAATCCAAATTTGTTGCTAGAGACAAGAGTATTCTGATTGTGTTTAGTTTGGCAACAGGGGCAAAAGTTTCCTGATAGTCAATGCCGTAGGTCTAAGAGTATCCTTTTGCCACTAACCGGGCTTTGTACTTATTTATGGTCCCATCAAGGTTGTACTTCTTTGTGAACACCCACTTGCATCCTACTGTCTTCTTTCCTATAGGTAAGTTTGTGATCTTCCAAGTCTGGTTTTTTCTTAGGGCCTTTAGTTCTTCCTCAATGGCCCCTTTCCGGTTGGAATCAGATATGGCATCTTGGAAGGTGGTAGGGAGCTGTTCGTTTGCTAAACGAGTCACAAAACTGTGCATAGAGGGTGATAGACGATTATATGACACAAAGTTACTTATAGGATGTTTAGTGCAAGATCTTACTCCCTTTCTCAATGCAATAGGCCATCCAAGATCACTTGGACTTGTAGTTGAGGTTGATTCTTGGTACTGCTTAGTCCTAGAGGGTACTTCACTGCTGTTTTGTGTAGTTCCAGCACCTGTTTCTTCTTGTTCTGAGACATTTTGACCTGCCTCTCCATTTCCAGAGTCTGACTCCTCACTTTCCAACTCCACATTGTCTCGGCCATCATTATTGGAACCTGTTTCAGGTGTGTCCAGATCTAAATTGGGTGGTATTGGCTCAGTTTGAGGTTGACTGGCTTGGGATGGAGAGGTAGGTGTAAGTTGCTCATGTGTAGGTGTAAGTTGCTCTTGTGTCTCATGATCAAGTAGGGAAAACTCTCATTCTTCCTCACTCTCCCCCTGAATGGGTGTTTTGGAGTAGTAGGCTTGAGTTTCATCAAAGGTTACATTCATTGAGATAAGGTATTTTTTCTGGGTTGGAGAGTAACATTTATAGCCCTTTTGGGTGGAGGAATAGCCAAGAAAAATACATTTAATCGCCCGAGGGTCAAGTTTGCTGCCATGGTCATTGTGGACATAAGCTATACAACCAAACACTATTTCAAGGATATGGGTGAGTATATGCGAATTAGGGTAGGTTTTGGATAGAGTCTGAATTGGTGTATGGAAGTTCAATGTTTTTGAGGGTAGGTGATTTATTAGGTCTGTGGTAGTGAGAGGAGCTTCCTCCCAGTAGATTTTTGGCACATTATTAGTCATCATTATAGCTCGGGTAATTTCAAGAAGGTGGCGGTTCTTTCTTTCGGCTGTTCCATTTTGCCGTGGTGTGTTTACACAACTTGTTTGGTGCACAATACCATGCTGTTTAAGGTAAGTTTGGAGGTGAGTGTTCAGATATTCCCTCCGATTGTCACTCCGAAGAACCTTCATGGAAGTGTCAAACTGTGTTTTAATCATTTTGTGGAAGTTTATGATGATTTGAGTGAGATCAGATTTGTCTTTCATAAGGAAAACCCATGTAACTCGTGTGTGATCATCTATTAGAGTGACAAACCACTTGGCTTTTGTTAGAGTTGGGATACGGGCAGGGCCCCAGATGTCACTATGCACAAGAGAGAAAGGATGAGTATACTGATGTGAATGAGCCTTGTAATTGTTCTTGGTGTGTTTAGAGAGTTGGCAGATTTCACGAGAATTAGAAAGGAAATTTTTATTGATGGAATTTGGGAACAATCTGGACATATATTTAAAACTAGGATGGCCTAACCTATAGTGCCATAACAATGCTTCATTATTGGAAAGTTGAGTTGCTGGATTTTTTTCTGCTGCATATGTCCTGGAATGTACCCAATTTTGCTCACTTGAGTGGTGGTCTATGCAGTAAAGCCCCTCCAGTAACCTAGCTGTGCCAATCCTCTTCCCCAACTCCAAGTCCTGAAACAAGCATTGAGTGGCAGAAAAATTAATGTCATAGCATTGTGAAACAGTAGCTTTGCTCACAGAGATTAAATTGCATTTTAAATCAGGGGCATAGAGAACATTTTTAAGTATCACATCACTGAATAGGCACACCTCACCAATCCCATGAACTTTAATAAATTTACCATCTGCTACCTTTATGAACATAAGGAATTCACATGGTTTAACATTTCGAAGGAGGTTAATATTACCAGCCATATGATCAGTGGCTCCAGAGTCTACAATCCACTTT